TGGTGTCTTCCAGAGTGCTGTTTCGACAAATCAAAGTCCAACCAGATCTGTTTGGCCGTACTTTTAGTCGGTGGTCCACCCAACGGTGTAAATTCACGAGCGTAAAACTTATGCTTAAAAATATGACTGTTGAATAGAACGGTTCGTTAGGACTTGCAAAAGGCATTACCTCATCCGATGATCCAACAACCTTAAACGAATTCTCACTACAATCCACGTGCAACGCTCCACTGAAGTGTTTCACGTATGTTGTGTCATAATGCTCCAAAGTACATCTAACGTATAAAAGGTCCATCTGAAGGAAAAGAACAAAAGAATGTCGGAAAACGTGACTATTGCAGAAAACAAGTAGTAAGCTTACAAGTAACAAATAAATACATTACAGGATACATACAAGTAATTAAGATATGTTGTGTCACTATGCTTCCAAGTACACCTAACTTATAATAGATCCATGCAAAAACAAGTTCCCTGGAGCCTCGACGTCAGCAGCGACGAAGCCTAGCCCAGCAAGTAAGTAACATATGTTGTGTCATAATACTCCCAAATACACCTAACGTATAATAGATCCATCTAAAGAAAGTCCACCGTAGTCCAAAGGTCAGCAGCGCCAAAGCCTAGTCCAGCAAGTAAATGGTAACATATATTGTGTCACAATGCTCCCAAGTACATCTAACGTATAATAGATCCATCTAAAGAAGTCCCTGGAGTCCTGACGTCAGCGGCGCCAAAATCTGGCCCAGCAAAAAAATAACATATGCTGTATCATAATGCTTTAAAGTACAACTAACTGATAACAGGTCCATCTGAAGGAAAAGAACGAAAGAATATAGAAAAACTTGATTATCGTAGAGAACAAGTACTAAGCTAACAAGTACGTAACAAGTAGTACAAGTTATAAGCAAATAAGTAAGAAATAACGAAAAGAAGGTAGAAGAAAACCGGGAAGAAACGACAATTACAGGAAATCATGAAGGAATTTTCCGCGGTGAAAACAATCTTCGCGAGGCGGGGTGGACAATAATTTAAATAGTGTCCGTAAAAATTCGTACTACACACTATTGCAACCACCATATGTAAATATGCTTTAATATACTCGAGGTGCTCTCACAAATTTGTAAGTACAGTGGTAATTAGTAACTGTAGTTTACATTTCACTTTACAGGAGTACCTAGTTCTATAAGGTGTTAGGATGTCAAGAATAAGGTTCTTTACATTTGCCGTTGGTTGCCACAAAAATCACCTGAACCTTTTTGTGGATATGGAGATCACATCTACTGTCTCGAGGATATCTTATTACTTTATCCTAGTTTACATAACCCGTCTCTACGTCTATTGTGCGGACCCATCAATTCTTACATTCGATCCGTTTCCTCACATCCAACATCTACAAAGGTTATCGAACTTTTCCACACGTGGATCCAGCTGCTCTTTGAAGAGTTTCGCCGTCCTTACGAACATCATTGAATGCTGGTCGATCCGACTCTCCCTCGGGTCTTTGGTGAAATGAGTGATCTGACCCTGAATTAATCTGATATAAATTTCCTGACCGCGGAGTGATGAGAGGCTTGGTGATGCCGCTGTGGTATCGAACCAGAACCATGCTCATGACGAACGGCATTACTACCGCTGCGCCATCTGCAACTCTGCAACGAATCTTAGAGATATTCGTTCTACCCCTTTTTTCATCCTCCTGTAAAATCTCCAAACCAATAAGATAAGCTCCAGTACCCCTTTCAGACCTTGGACGATCAGAGCTGCAGTTCCATTCAAAGCGTCAATTAGCTTCAGATTTCCTACTCAAACTCCGCAAACGTACCACTTATACCAGGATGCTTAGGTATGCTATTGCGCTTTTCCACCCTTTTTATCAACAATCTCCTCTCAACGGTTTACCTCTCCGCACCGTGGCTGGGAAGTGTTCTTGGGTGTGGGCTGCGACGTACAGAGAGACCCATCTCCAACTGCAGCGCTTCCCAAGATGAGGAGTCTCGTGTTTCCATCGGGAAACCCAATTAAGAATAAACCAATACCAGGATCCGTCACCACCTGATACCAAACTAACCGCATAGTGGAAAATCTTCCTGTGGTCCACAAAGCCTGCGACTGCCTGTGGTGGCTACAACCTTGGGCGATTGTGGCTAGGCCTACCTCGGGACTCCAGGAAACTACAGTGCCTAAACCAGCAAAACTCCGAAAAATGGAGATTATCCTGGGGCCCGCATAGCCAGTGAAGACGGGCTATCCAAGTATTATCAATCTTCAAATAGCTGTGTATAAACCGTACTCTTTCAAGAAAGCTGTAGATTTAAACAACCATGAAATCTGCCTATAGTTTACAATCATTACACCATGTTCCTTAGCAATATCTGTTAGAGCAAGACTGGAAGTTAAAATATCAACAACGTATTGAGTTTATTATATCACTTCTATCAATATAAACGGGATATTATGACCCGAAATAGAGATGAGCACAGGAAATACCATATAAAAGCAACAATAGCAACGGTAAGATCACGGCCTAAGAAGATGCTCCTAGAGAATGATACTCCTTTGATCATACTTTTTTTTATCATTCAGCTGCATACGGCAAACGAAATCAGAAAGAGAAGCTTCGAATTCTTCGAAGCACGAGTAGACCACTAAATGCTTCCGTATCCATTTGGAAACACGAGCTGGTGATACATCATCTGAAAAGTAACGCGTATAAAGCCTAGAAAAGCCATAATTAACTAGGTGAAAAGAAATATGTATATTGCTAGTGCGTGTAACGAAGTGGTCGGATGCGCCCTGCAATATACATGAGATCGATTCCCACCTCTATGGCCTACCCAACCTTCCACCCCTCCAGGGTCGGAAAATTGCTACTAGACTTGTCTGGGAGAATACCACCACTGCCTTGATACTCGATACATCGGAAGGCCACCGTGAGTCAACGTAAAGACCAGATGTGCATTCATTCACCTCCAACGATGCTTAACGAAGTCGAATGCACGGTGCGTCTCTCAGGGATTGATCAACACCAAGAGCTTTACCGTTTTATTTTTTATTTCTGGTAAAATGAAGAGGGAATGAAGTTTTAAAAGTTCGAAATAGAGCTTATACATGCATAATTTTAGTGGGCTCTTCTCTTGAATCAACATTTCAGTGAGGTCTTCTCTGTTGTCTCCACTCCCGTATTCTACGATAACTAATACTTTCCATCAGTCCATCACTATACAGTCAGTCAGTGAAAATAAACATTTCTACAACGGAACCTAATTAATTGTGAAACCTTTCATTCACTCACATTTTCCTCACTTTTCACAGACATGAGTAATTTTTGCAAAGCGTGGAACAAAACTGAACAGTGACTAGGTATTTTTAACGGCTATATCACCACAAAGGGCGTGTGTGGCGCAGTGGTCGGAAGCGCCCTGCAACACACAGGTGAAGTCGTACCGCGCGTCCATGGCTCACCGATTTCCATTCATCTGGAGTCGGAAAATTGGTACTAGACTTGGCTGGGAGGATAGCAGCACTGGCTCGATACATCGGTAGGTCACCGCGATTCATTGTAAAGGCCAGATATGTATTAAGTCACCTCTAGCGATGCTTATTGAAGTCGAATGCATGGCGCATCCTACAGGGATTGATCAACGCTGAGAGCTTTGTCCTTTTGCCCTTTTATATCACTACATGTGTTTATTCTATGTCCAGTTGAATTCCAACTCAAAAATGTTCTGCACCTTTTGGAATTTTTGAATTTCCACAAGATACAGATCCATACGTGAGACGGAGAGCACACTGGATTATCCATTAACGCATTCGGGATTCACATGTGATTTGGTGCAAAACAGACCGTATAAATGAAATCTGCTTCGTTTTCCTTGCAATTGCAATCTTTCTTTCGCCGGTCAAACGTCTCCTGCACTGCCTTTTGCATTTGATCGAGTCTCTGTATGAGAAATGTTGTACCCAGCGTAGTGTGAGCAAAGGTAATATTTACACAATAGAAGCTATAACGGCAGCGGGTAGTGAGTAGGTTCCACGAGATTTGAAATGCACAGCGAAAAGCCCAACAACCCAATGGTCAGAGATATTTACAAAGATCCTGGAAGAAGGATAAAATGTTCTGCAAAAACCCTAGAGTGTACAGAATCCACAGGGATATTTCCGCACGTGATAGGGACAAACGAAGGCTTCACTGACGCCTGCTCGAATCACTCGATGGTCAATGGAAGGGAAAGTGATGCAGACATGATGACGAAAAGATGCCCCAATGTACCCAACTTCAGTATTAAAGTATAGCAGAGAGGTCTTTGTTCTTTTCTGAAAAGTAACCATTTCTCCAATGGCTGCTGTCTTCAAAAAGTCGCCCGTCCGCGAAACAAAACCATACTGAAGAGGGTTTTCCTCACATTACTGATTCACAGGATAACCTCTCTGATATGATGCCCAGATAAATAGTAGGCACTAGATAGGATACTGATTGAATACAAAAGTTAGAAGAAAAAAACTGTTCCACGTCCGGCCCCAAAAAAAAGAGTTGCTATCAACTCACGCTTACTCAGTTGCCCGTCATGCACGGATGTAACTCCAATCATGTTAGACTCTACTTGATAATATAGGATACATAAAAGAACGAATTGCAACAGAAATAATACGGAAAAAGATAACCCCATATCTGGATGGGTAGAGAGAATTAGAGGGTACAATGGATTACACGCCAAGCATTTGTTCGTCAACAAGGTGAGCAGGTAAATTCTGCGTAGTTATGAATGTGTTTACAGGGGCTCCATAACCTAATGAAAGAACAAAACCGCATTTGTTCCTTCAATCAATTCACCAATATAAGGTAAACCCTAGTAGATCATGGCATTGATCTACTCTTAGCTAGGCATCAATGCCAGGATCCACCACCGCTTTAGTATCAAACTAGTCGCAAGTTGGCAAATCTCCTTATGATCCAAACTAGTAGGGCCCGCTAACCAATGAGGACGGACCATCCAAGTATCCATTTAAGTATACAGGATGAAAGCATAAAAGCATCTCCATGAAAAAGACAGGAAGCACAAGCTCCCCGTTCCATAGCGTGAACACTGACTTCTATCAGCCTTTGATGCCTGCCCGACCAAACGCTCATCCACAAGAACAAGAGCACCCCAATCATCTTTATGCCGAAGGCATCTGAAATTATAAAACAAAATTCTTTTATGAAAAACACTCACAACTCTACACAATTGGACTAACCTGCCTAAAGCCTGGTTGATGGCGCGATAGGCCTGAGAAACATACCATTGTTCTCCGGAAAGAAGTGACTTTGTCCTGCAGTGCAAATCGTTGTAATTTTTTTTCTCTTTCACCTAAAAAGAAGATTGTACTCAAACAATAATGGGATGGAGATATGGCGGTAAAATAAGACCGAGTCGAAAAACTCATAACTAACCAATTCATCGAACGCGTTCGGAAAAGGGATCCCGACTGCAATGACTACTCTTGCAAGATCATCAGAGAAATCGAGTCCTTCAGACACCTGCTAATATTTTAATTAAGCGAAATCCTAGGAAATATATAGGGGATACATAGATACTGGACATATTTTCCACTTTTTATTTCATTTTATATGACCCATCTTCACGTCTACTGTGCGGATCCCAGCACTTCTCATATTCAATTCGTTTCATCGCATTCACTGTCCACAAGGTGTGGCTTTGGTTGCTGCTTGTGGATTTTCACATCACCTTGAATGTCGTAGAAAGCAAGCAACTCTTCCTAGAGCTCTGAGATAACTGGGCTGGAACGTTCCCAATTGGAATGCAGAGAGTAAGTTTCCTCCCAGACAAGTCCGGTACCAATTCCCCAACTTCGGAAGGATGAGAGGCTTGGCTGGCCCAGAGTGAAATCGAACCAGTATCATGCTAGTGATGATGGACATCACTACCACTATGCTACCCGCCCCTATACTGGATATATGGGGTAGATAAACAGGCATACGCATACACATAAGAATGGACGAATGAAAAGCTTACTTTTCCTCGAAAAACAGCTAACATTAAGCCACCATCCACTTTTTCACCATGGAGAGCGGGATTACTGACAGCGCTCTCATATTCCTCCATCACCATGTGTAAATCTGAGGAGCGTCGAGGTTCCTTCACTACTACCTATGTTTTTTCTTCGTTATAACCACTAACATAGTCAGAAGATAGTTAAGAAGTGCCTTTCGAAATTGAACTTGACGAAGAATAGATGTTCTTTCCATAAAGTCGTAAACCATTGCCAACATGCGATAGCTGGGAAAAAAACATAAAATCCCTTTCGGTACAAGCATGCAGATGGAGCTGAAAATCTCGAAAATGCTACACATTTTTGCATGCCAAAATAAGTACTGATACAAATACTACCGAATAACTAGAGCAAGTTCACTAATAAATTGACTATTTTCGTCACCATAATTCCGGAATGTCGCGCAAAGCTTGTGACCAGATGGACCCTAAACGAAAGAACAACCATCCCAATTGCTAGGAACACTAATACTTATCAAAAATAACTAACCACAGGCAGAACTGAAGCGAAAATTTGTTCTGTAGGAACCACATGGTCACCTTCCATCTAAATTTAGGAAAACTATCTACGGTGAAAACAAAAACCACTCAAAAACATGACTCACTTGAGAGTGGAATTTGAAACCTAGTTCTGTTTTCAGCGTTTCGACCGGGCATAAGGTTCCAGAAGCAAGAATGACGGAACGACAATTCATAAACGCACTATTAAATGCCTGAAAACACAGTTTTGTCATTGACTACTCGACCTTCTTTAATAAACAAACGAAACAAGCTTTGATCTTAACAAATACTGTAAAGCGGTAGGGAAAACTAACAAGTTCTGGACCCATGCACCACAAGCCAATACAAGTCCTGAATCCAGGTTTTACAGGATCACATTCATTTGATCCATGTGCAGAAGAAGGCCATAATTCGCCTTCGCCAGTCGAATGGCTGTAATCTACGTTCCTGAGAGCAGTCTGTGTCTGTCCGATTCGGCTACCTCCCATACGAAAAGATGAACGCTGGTTTACTTGATATAGTTTCTCACTAGTCACGTTCATCCTAGAAAAAGACCTCTTTATAAAATCATTTCTTCGGTGCGGTAAAACTACTACCTACAGGCGCATAAATTTTCAAAACACACTTCTATTCATCATCTACTTGCACAGTTTATGTTCCACAGCATCTAGATTTCTCGTGAGCAAGCTACGAATGGGCAATCTGTGGAGACTATTTCTTATCTGACAGAGAATAATGTATATTTGTTTAGATAAATTACAACTGTTCTTCCTTTGAACCAAATGAATTTCACTCCACAATAGTTCCCTATGCTGGTACGATACAGGAGCTTATACAACGTCCTCCACTATTATCTAAAGCATATACGTTTATCGATCCCACTCTAAACTAGTCCACTATTTCTATGAGGATTTAATTTCCTAACTTTGAGCTTCGGCTCTGTGGATACACAGCAAATACATCGCTGCAGCACATACACAACCCAATTACTTCGGAGTAACATCTTATTTAGACCATCATTATAACCAGAACTAAGCTAACTCTATTCACATCATTACCAACGCGAACAGAACGATTATGGATGAAAACAAGCAGGTCCCGTAATGGAACAAAAACTGACAAAGTCGACAAACACGCTACGAAACCAATCTCATAAAAAGGAAAGAAGATGTTTCTCCGTCTCTTCACAAATCATGATTCCACTTCCACCCTCTATGTAGTTAACTACCCATGTCGTTCCTTTTTATGATTCGCAAAATTGCAGTTGCATCCTTGTTGTATTCGGTTGCTATGATTGCCCTTCCTTATGTAAACTGTTTCACTTCGTATGCGCTTTCGCACAATGAATCATCTTTGAGCACGCACTGACTGCTAAACATAAGGAAACTTTTTTCTTTCCCCAACAGTTTTCGTTCTCTATCAGTTACTATACGCACTTCAAATAATATATGAGGATCATCGTCATGTTGGAAAATGACACGTTTTTTCCAGTTCTCACATGTTTCTATCCAACTGATTCTCAGTTATTCAGTTCCTTCACTAAAACTTGAGTAACCTACTATTTACATTGTTTGTACCACAATACCTTAAAAAGCCGTTCTACTTGCATCATTTAACTAAAGGTTTAGTTACCCAAGTTTGAGGCTTCGTTACGGAGAAAACCAGAAAAAGTAGCTAGCAGGCAGGCTACTTTTCACATTTTCCACATGATTTAGTACCTATTATCAGATCATTCGAAGAAGCACTCAAATATTTAGCTAATCACACAGCTTGTGAATCTTAAACGTAAACCTTCCACCTGACGTTAAGTTAATGATACAGAACAACTTACCCACTCAAGCAGCATAAGAGTTAATCATAAAAGGAATCAGCAAGAACAAGACTATAGTAGCGAAAAGACAATTTTCTATCTTAAGGAAAACATTCTTTATCCTAGAAAAAACCTTAATAGCAACTTCGTTGCTGTAAACCATATGTATATTATTTAGAAAATTTCCAGCTTTTTTCTTGAAATTTTTTAAATCAAAACTCCAGAGGCTACTAAAATCTCAGGGCCATTTTACGCTGCCTAAATCGCTAAGAAGTAAAGTCAGAATCTGTACCTGTAATTCACGCACACTTGCATCTGTGTCCTCAGAGAAGACTTGATTATAAAGTTCGACGTCATCGGAACAGCCGAGACGAGAAGACACCGTGCATTCAACCCTGTCTTTGACACCAGTAGAACTATTCCTGGGAATAGAGGAGTCGGCGTCGGCATTCTCATCAACACGAGTTTGGCCATGAACATCGATTCATTCGAACAACTAACTACGCAAATAGGACGTCTATAATTGAAGATGTGGATCAATAGAAGCTTCGGCAATCTTCATCGTCTAGGCATCGACATCAACTTATGACGAAGAAGAAATTGAAGCGTTCTAATAAGGACTTCGAGAAGTAGTTCTACAGAGAAGTCCATACATTCTACAAGGTCACCATTGGAGATTTGAACGCTAAAATTGGACCAAGAATAACGTCTGGGAAATGTCACATTGAGATCCACGGCTTATAATAGAATGAGAAAGGTGAGCAGTTGTCTAAGGATACCATGACGACCAAGACCATTCAAGGTAACTCGCACTTCCAGGAACCCTACCCTCAATGTTGGACATGGAAGTTCCCAATATACAATACCTGCTGAAATATACCACACAAAGTTATAAAATCCCTTTAAAAATGAGATTTACTGAGTTCATTACTCTGCCGTTGGGAAGATGTCCTTCATGATAACATCGACGAGGAATACGACAGTACATTCAACATCTTCGCGTCAGCGCTGAAAGCTAGGAGTTAAAAGGCACCAAATGACGTCTGTCACCAGAAACACTCGAGCCGATACGCCAGTGTGGCGTCGAACGAGCTACCGAAAACAGCCAACTTATGCCCGAACTTACTAACAATTTAGATAGGCGATAATAAATCTTAAAGAGAAGAGTAGCAGTTATGATCGAAGCTGCACAGGACGGGAAAATAATTCTCAAAGCCCACCGAAACTTCTCCAATTACAAAACCAGGATGGATGCAGTCCGATGCCCAGACGGAAAAATTACAGTGTACAGAAAGGCAATGGAGGAAATCATTCACGAATACTACTCGGATCTCTTCGATAGCCACGCCCACCTTCCGTCACATGAAATAAAGAAGGATCAATATGTTATACCACCGGTTCTTCCTTCCGAAATCCAACATGCCATTTCGTCGGCAGCACCAGGTCCGGACAGGATAAGGTCTGAAAACCTGGAGAATCTTCCGCGAGTCCTCGTGAACACACTGGCTCGGCTCTTCACACGTTACCTGTCTGAATGCAAGGTCTCTACTTAGTGGAAGACCAGCAAGACCGTGTTATTGTTCAAGAAGGGTGACCTACACGATATCGGCAACTAATACCCAATCTGTCGTCTACAAACTTTTCATTCGAGTCATCCTAAACAAGATTGACAGAACACTGGACGAAAGACAGTCATGTGAGCATACAGGGTTTCGAAAAGGAGTACGATGGACCACATCCACACGATAACAAGACTCATTGAAGTGTCGCGAGAGTACAAATGACCGCTCTGTCTCACTTTCATCGTTTTAAAGAAGGCCTTTAACTCAAGTAGTCATGGAAGCCCTTGATAATCAGGGAGTCCCTATTTTCAGTACATAAAGATTCTTCGTGAACTGTATAAAAATTTCACAACCAAAATATCACCACTCTACAATGACATCAACATCGACGTCAAAAAGGGGCTAGGCAAACGATACCAACTCACCAAAATTATTTACCGTCACTCTAGAGAACGTCATGCGAACACTGGAATGGGACAACATGAGATTGAAAATTGATGTTTGGTAATTAAATCATCTTCGCTTTGCTGAAGACACCGTTCTCAAAACACCAAACATTAGCCAGGCGGAGTGAGTGCTTGTGGACTTTGATAAAGCCTGTGGAAAATTTGCCTTTGACTAAATCTCACAAAAACGATGTTCATGAGGAGTGGATTGGTTACGTATGCCCCATTCACGCTCGACGGTACAAATATCTCCGAACGCTCCAGCTACGTGTACCTAGGTTAGGAAATCAACAAAATGCACAGCTTAACTGCAGAGTTGAGCAGGATCAAGCAAGTGTATTTGGAAAGCTTCAAGAGCATTGCGGGTGTAGTGAAGAAAACAAAGAACAGCCGATTCCGCGCTCTCCTTTTCGACTCCACAATTCTTCCTACCTTAACAAATACGTCACCAACATGGTCGATATGTAAGAAGGATAAAAGAGCACTCAGCGTTACGGAACGTGCAGTTGAAAGAAAGATGCTATGAGTATTCCGTTTCACACAAGTAAGAAATGGTATCCGAAGCTCCCACCTACGTCAACGATTAAAAATCAAGCATATCGTTATGTACTCCAAATTGTCGAAGATAAGGTGGGTGGGACACGTAATGCATGTGAACTACAACCGATGGACAAGAGCCGTTATTGTGTAGATTCCTCGGAATGTTAAACCGATGGTCAGAGTTCTTCACCGGAACCCTAGAAGAAAGGTATGGTGCTGAAAGGGCCTCTAAAGTAAGCAAAACCCACTGGACTACTCCTGCACTAGTCATGGGGAACTGGACGGAGATACATTTAATGGCGCCCGTTCGAGTAACTTGACCATCAGAGGGATAGTAGGTGATAAAGGTGATCAACATTGTCAATTGTACGGCGTAGCGGTTTATAAAGCTCCATTGCCTAACCGCGAGATTAACATTGCATTAATAAAATAATGTGTTTCGCAATGTCACCCCGAAGAAGACCAAATGTTCTCTACTGGGGCAGCCGACACATAAGCATATATGAAAGAGACGTAATACTAACTTGTACATACTCCTCTTTTCCTCTTCTTTGAAAAAATGTATGAAGTATAACCACTTCTCGACACAAGTTACAGCAGCGGAGCTTATTTTATCTCTTCTAGGCTGGTCCTCCCATCCCTGCTCATTATTACTGTTCAATGCACTTAACGCAGTCTGAAAGTAAGCAAATTTTTAAAAAAATTTACAGGACTAAAAAATAAGGGTGGGAAAAACAGATTTGTATAAGAAAAAAATCCATCTCGACCTGAGCGTTGTCATATCGGTTCTCGGGTGGGAGTAAATGGAACTTTTTCAAACTCACTTCCAGGTAACCATGATCTCTAAATGGGAAAAAATGCATAGGTCACTTGATAGTCGAAAACCTTCAGCTATTAGAAATAATTAACCAATACTTTAATTCTTACACTGTTTGAGAAAATCTCTCCATTTCATTTTCTTCGAATTTCTCAAGAAGTTGAGACGCTGAATCGCGGAACCATTTCAAAATATCGTCTACAAGCTGAGCCAGCTAAAGCAAAAAATGAAAAAGGACATAAAACTACTATGGAAAAAAGAAACACCGTGTGATATTATATTACAAATACGTTATACCATTGTTACACACTTCAGGTCCTGAGTGTGGTTCTCTATTGCAACATTCGCTGCCTCCTTGTCAACACCATCCATTAACTCAGCGTCACTTACACGTTTTTCGATCATCGTTAGGGTATTTTCCTCTAAAGAAGACAATAGAAAGAGTGTGAATCGTATCGGAAAATTAACCGTAAGACTTTGTGAATGCAGAAAACACACCGTTTTCCCTCAAATTTGATAAAGCGTCGAGCAATTCTTTCTCAAAGAACGTGAAACTAGCTGCTTCACGACAAATGTCCTCAATGTTATGAGCTTCATCCAAAATGACCACACTATTCTTTAAGTGTACATCTGATGAGTTTCGAATTACGGGATCTAAAAAGTCGACAAGTGGTCTCCAGCAAGAACTGCTAAGCCAAAGTGTATAACGAACCAATCAGATAGCTGAATGGGCAGAAAATTATTTCTGCATCTTGAGTCAGCACGCGAGTACTTGCAAAATACGGACAGATCGGATACGGCATCGATGACAAGCAACTCACAAGCTCCTCAATGTTGAAGGTTTCGGCACCCTTAACCCAATCAAATTTGTTACACTTTCTCTTTCTGTGAAAAAAAAGCAGAGTGAATAATTCAGCATCTTGCCATTTTCTGAAGTATTCTTCGCACATTTCTGGCATTCTCAAACCGACGCTTCATGGCGTCTTTATGCCGACAGCCTATCTAAAATAAACAGCCCATTAACTCCGAATAAGCTCACAAATATTTATAAAGAGGAAAGCGAACTCCGCCTGAAGATATGAGCTCTTTACAATAACTTGAAACATCCTGTGATTCCCTCGCAGCCTTATTGACGCAAGACTGTTCTCTGCTAGCCAATATGGTATGACTAAAATTAATATAACTCAGATGAAATCCCATTTAAAAAAAAATGAATCCCTCAGCAATAACATTTTAAGAGTTCTGAATCATATGAATATAGGTGTTCCAAAACTAGAAGGATTACTTGTTAACCTCAAAACTCCTCCATATGGAAGACGGGAAAACTCCTTCACTACCTGGCTGATCTGTTTATGTGTTCGAGTACCGTAATAGATCCGCGTTTTCCTAAAAACAAATAACAGATCTGTAGAAATCTTGTAAAGACCGTAAACTCCAAAGCGAACTCACGGTAAGCATGAACATTTCCTACGCTCAGAATTCTCTGTAGAGATGCTCGCTAATGAATCAGAATTCTAAAATAGATAAGTAAATCAACGAAAACACAGTTGATGGAGGAACCATTAGCATTAATAGAAGCGCTATGTTTTCCAGACTCACATTAAAGAGCAAATGAACATTACTAATATGAGGTACTTGCGATAAAACAAAATGCATTTACCAACCAAGTCTTGTTGTCCATGAGGGCTACTCTGGAAGTCGGTGAAAAACTCATTGTCATCTAAAGAAAAGTATAGCTACTTAAACCTGACATTAAAACTAGATAAGAATTCAGCGTGCAAGCAAATTCACTTACATGGCAGATGGTTGTTACTTGCAGGCAAGTCCTGGATCTAAAAATGTAGCTTTCATTCAGAGATTTGAAGTATTAATTAGTCTTTATTTCATACCTCTTCCGGTTCAACGTTGACAGAGTCATCGACGTCATTATCGCACACTTCTATAACATTACGAATTGTACGAAACGATAAAGCTAACCTCTCAACGATTTACCACATTATCGTGGTTGGGAGGTGTTCCTGAGTGTTGGGCTGCGATATACAGCGAAGGGATTCATTCCCATAGCAGGGCCTCTCAAATTGAGGAGTCCGGCGTTTCCATCAGGAAGCCTAGCTAAGGGTAAACCAATACCAGGTTTGATACCACCGTCCTGGTATCAAACTAGTCAAATGGTGGCAAATCTCTCTCTGATCCACAAGAGCGGCGACTGCCAGTGGCGGTGACGGCAAGAGGCAGACTTTCGCTTGGCTGACCTCGGGACTCCAGGGAACCACAGTGGCTAAACCAGCAAAGCTCCGATAAAATAGAAATCATGCTGAGGCCCGCACAACCAGTGAGGATGGGCCCTCCAAGTATCCAAGTAAGTAAGATAAAGTTCACATTTAAGCATAAGAAAGCCTATTTGACAACTAAACGACACCTTAACAAAAAACTACGTTATTTACACACCAGAATTTATTGCAGTGTCACCATATTTACCGTGAATGGGACACGATTTCAATGCTTCCCAACGTTTTCTTTTATCGTCATCTAACCAAGCACAACTAGATGTCAGCAGAGCTAGGGTTTTCCCTAAAAATAAAGCGCTTTATAAAATTGAGATAAGACGCATTTCGAGGTGTGACATTTGAGAAAGCCAACATACCAGTTCCGGTAGGGCTTTCAGCCAATAGATTCAGCTTCTTTGTAAGCGCCGTGATAATGCGCACCATCATCAACTTCTGTGAGGAATAGAGTTTTAGGCCAGATGGTACACGAACATCAACACCACATATAGGCATCCTCTCAAAATCAGAACTATCAACGGCTAGTTGCTCTCTGTAAAATTAGCAAACTGAAAAATTCTCAAGACCAACTTACTACGAACCTCGGCTTTGATCGAATAGTTCACTGCTCTCTTGATCAGCAAACACGGGTAGTTAATCTATTCTATATTTATAAAAAAACTGACGTTACAGCGAATTTCGCCCACTTCAAAGCCTGGAAAGTAAGTTGACCGCAATCTACTCAGTCAAGTTTACCAATGTACCCAGACAAGTCACCGCTTTTGGTTATGGAGGTGTTTGGCTGGGTAGATTGCAATTTGAACTTTCCTGGTCCTGACGAAGACGAAATCCGCTGAAACGTCAACTTATTTATGAATAAAGGATAAATTAACCTCGTGTTTGCCCACCACAAGAACAGCGAAACATTCTTCTTCTCCACAAAGAGGCACCAGTCATACATCTCCAACAAACCTCCTTCGCTTTCTCGCTTTACTAAATGGCGTAGAGAAATCGTATGCCGTCGATTCGGCAGGTTCACGCTCCGTCACTTCGCCTCCTCTTACGAAGTTGTATGGAGTCCCTAAAAATGAATAATGCAACTACATATATCACGAATTTTCAACTGCCACCTAACTACAGGCTAGCAGTAGGAGCTGTCAAATCTCCAACTCTTGCAGCACTTTAGTTGGCCAAAAATTAGTGGCAATCATCCAAGAACCAGCGTGGTGCAAATCATGAGAGCTATGTAGCTTTAGGTTACCCCTAATGCGTCATTAGTCTTCCTAACGATTTAATAGTCTGTTAGTGGATAATTAAGGATTTTCCACGAGAACCATGAAACGCCCTAGTTAGAAGTTAGAATGGTTAGTTTATATCCCTAGAAGTGAAAACGAGAGGCTTGCACCAAAAGCCTCAAAATCAGTCTCACTGCTTTGTCGCTTGTAATAACTTCTACGTCTTCTCTCGTTCCGAACTTGTAAAAGGCTCCATTCAGATGTTTCCATTACCCTGAACGAATACCGTGATGTTTATCGTCACTACCCATCGTTAAAGTTACGACGACTTTCAAATTGCACGTTAGCACAGCTCCACTTAACTCTTGTGCCAATATGAAGAAATGCTTTGGCATTTTCTAAGCCTTACCATTCCCTAAAAAAGCGAATGAACGGCGAGAACATGGACTTGAAGAGGTAGAAAATCAGATGCATCAACAACGTACCAGTACCAATTAGGTACAAGATCACAATAGTCTAAAGTTCATCCCAAATGAGAAACTTGCTCGAAAAATCCAAACTTTTCTTGCACTTGAAACCATTTATATGGCAAATCCTAGCACTTCGTTCCCTCACATCCATCGCCTATAAAAGTCGTCGAGCTTTTGCGTGTGGATTCGGCTGGTGTTTGAGGATTTTCGTCTTCGCCATGAATGACGTTGAACGCTGGTCAGGTATATGGCCCTTGGAATCTTGGAGTAGCCGTGCTAAGGCGTACGCACGTGGATGGGAAGGTGTAGGTTCATCGCACACGAATTTAGTACCAATTCCCCGTCTGCGGAGGGATAGGAGGGTCGGTGGCCCCGGGGTGGAAAGGGCTTGTGGTGAAGAGCTGGAAGCGCTGTAGTATCCAAGGAAATTGAAATCGAATCACACTTAGATCACCAACGATGACACTAAACTACTACCAATAAAGCAAACGTTTACTGTCAATTTCGAAGCTTTCATTAGGGAGCTTCATCGGCATCTTCTTCTTCATACCATTTCAAATATGATGAACATATCTGATAATGAGTATATACAGACTATAAGCATTCTCAACGGCACCAATACATCTGGATTCTGATGTATCTGCCTCGGAAACCTCACGCGATACACGACGTACCTCTAAAGATGATCAAGAAGAAGCTAGAAGTTGGCGGGGCGCTCAAGAACCTTGCGAAGAATGTGATGAAAACAAACAACAACTTACTCAGCAACCGCCTTTTAGACATGCGATCCTTTCAGCCATAATGTTAACTTAGGGGAACCTGGACACTACCTATGCAATAGGTTAGATCGGTGAGAGTCAGCAGATTTACGGACTGAATATCAACTGGGCGATACCAGGACTGTTTCACGATATCCGTATGGACGAAAGAATGAGCACTTCTGACCTACGCCGACAACTGATGGGTTTGTTGAGGTCAACCATAATACAAACAATCAGGTCAGTCGCATATGAAATAATTTATTAAGCCGAGCAGTGGGTAAGAACTGTCCCACGAAATGATGTTGCGGCCACAACGGGAGATTCGTCGACCACCCATTCAACCTACTTTACGAATATCTTAAAAGAAAAATACGACATTTTCCTGCTATCTGAGCGAGAATGAAGGACAGCTAACTCCAGAAGTGACGGAAAAGAACGAAAACTGCTGTGATCGAGCTCAAACCAGTCCAGGACTAACATGAGTACTAGCGTAGCACTGATTTTAGAAACCTAGTCACGTGGTCAGTGCAAAACAACTTCGGCAACTGGTACTGAACAGGATGAACAGCTCTAAGGAGTTAGGAAGAGAACTTCCATAAAAATCGAAGTGATTTCAAAACTGCCGATTCGCGGCTAATCAAATGCGCGTCGACGGCGGCGCGGCTTGCTTGACGTGTCTTTGGCTTCACTCTCGATCGATATGTATATATATATAGCACAAATCCCTATCTATTATGCTTACTCCGGATTCTTGCATTGTTACCAATGTATTAAATCTATTATCAGTTGTTAAATTATCAGCCTGGAATTCATAATTGTAAGTGTCAGTTTGTGACCATGTCTATTTTACATGATTTTCTCCTTTTTCTCTCAAGTTCCTTTTCATTTCTATCATTGATTAGGCCTGAAAGCTCTGATTCTTTGTTAAGACCGTTAAGGTACCTTTTCTCGATTGTTCAGCTTCCATTGTAAGCTGAACAATCCAGAAAAGTTTATTGTTTGGACATCGTTTTGGTGTGAAGCACTTGGGCAGAGATACATTACGACTGCTCTCTTGTTCTGCTGTATCATTCAGATATACCATATACCTTCCTGAAAAGTTGTCCGACTTCTTGAATGAGTTTAATTATGAAAATAATAATGAATAAAACTAGATGAGAGAAAGGCGAAACGAAGGACCCGCATGGTGTGGTGGTGAACGGGTTATTGCCCAGAAGATGGTAACAGCGAGTTCGATCCCCACCGCAGATACCTGTGGTCCGGAGTTTTGCAAATATCTCAGCATCATGTGATTGTGGAAATAGTTTACAAATTGAGAAAAAAAAAAGAAAACCAAACTTAGTCGCTTAATATCGATAGAACACTAAATAGAACTGCTGACATTTTTCAAACCGACCGTCATTTAACCTCGATAGTAGTGATCAATCCAGGAAGGTATCGATTACTGACAATCCAAGTAGGTATTGATTATAGCTGAATAAGCATCTTTATCAACCTCGTGTTAATTTTGTCAACCAATCCAAGAAGGTATGATAACATTTTCTGAAATTTCAGATTCTTTGCTGAGCCGATGTCTAGATTTTATGGTGGCGATTTTCCGTCAAACTGGTTTCGAGGACATAAGAGAAAGTATAGTTGATGTTATCCGGAGAATGTGTAAAAATGGTCAGAACGTGGAATTTTTAACTTCGTATAGACGTAATAATGGTTTTTTTGCTGGTCAATGTTCACATACTTCCCAACGGTTAACCGCCTCATCGTAACTGAGAAATGTTCCTGGGTGTTGTGTTGGGCTGTACAGTGGTGGGATTCGTAACCCCTTTAGAGCCTCTCGAGCTGAGTAGGAGTCCAGCGTTTCCATCATCAAACCCAGCTATGAGGAAACCAATACCAGGATCCACATGAAGATGGTTCGTCCATTCAAGTAATATTCACAAAAGTGCAGTTGTTTGCTCGAATTTTTGCAGATATGTTTCTTAGGCAGATAATATGTTAGTTTGATATCGTTGGTTTTCCACTTAAGTTTTTTCTTGAAGGGCCTTGTGTTTGGCTACTCAGAGAGCAAATTTTTTTCGCATTTAAGCGATTTACAATTTACTAAAGGAGCAAACTCTATGTTAGTGAACAGTACGCTGTTCGATGTTGGTTTAACCTTTCCAGTTTAAATAGTAATAACAATAACAATCGATGCCAATGGTTTTTTATATGAACGGTCTCCGAGTATTGTGCTGGTTCTAGTACTTCATTCTGTTCGCTGTCTTGCTTCTGTCGCACAAGAAGTTCTTCGGATCTATGTACGGGTTTGTCTGCCGCCTGAGGACCTTATATTTTTCATAAACTCAACCGATCGATCTTGGATTTTTATATGGAATCGTGGAATAGGCCCCAGTGCAATGCCCCTAGGTTAAAGGCAGTCGTCGGAGCGGAGAACAGTTTTCGCATTCAAATCTGGTACCAGTTAGTCTGCCTCGAACGGATGCTGGGCGGGGTTTCTTTTGCTCCGGGACAGGGTGGAACTCCCCACCACGTCTGTGCTGCGGGACAACTCCCCTATCAGCGGTAGTAATCTTTCTAGCGGCAACATAATTTTTATTAAAATGATTAGGTTTCTTCATTATGATTTATTAATATTAATTATAGTAATAACAGAATGTTATCTTTACTGAGGATATCGTTGCTTTAGCACCAAGTATTAGCTAGGCTGTACGAATGAAGGCCGACTTTGCTAACGCTTGAGGAAAGATTTGTCTTCGAATAGATATCACGAAAACGATGTTAATGAGGAACAGATTGTTTTCGTATGCTCCATCCACCCTCAATGGAATCGATACGTCCGGATGTTCCTACTACGTCTTCCTAGTTCGAGAAGCAAACATGATGAATGAGTTAGCTCCAGGACTTAGATGGAGGAAGTGAGTGGCTTGGGGAGATTTCAAGAGCATTGAAGATGAATTGAGGAGAACAAAGAGCATCCGACTCCGTGACCCCTTTTCGACTTCACGATTCTCCCTGGCGTAACGTAAGCGTCAGAAACCTGCTCGCTACATAACCTGGGTGGAAGATCACTCACCGTTATAGAACGGATTGTCGAAACGGCGATGCTAGGAGTATTTCGCATCACTCAAATGAGAGATAATTCGAAACTCCGACCTGCATCAGCGATCAAAACTCAGAGACGCTGCCGGACACAATGTGTATGAATGACAACCGAAGAATAAGAACCGTTACCGACTGATGTCAAGCGCATGAAACTGGAAGACCATCGAGCCTGTTGTCAGAGTTCTTAACGGATACCACAGGTGAAATATCTGCTGCTCCACGATTCCCTTGAGCTAGCTGAACCCACTAGGCTCTTCTGTCATGCGACAAGGGAAAATCAAAAATTAGTATTCTTAGTGTCTCCATTAAATTTACTATTGCCAAAGAGATGTCCAGCATCACAATTTGTGCTCTATTTCCATGTTTCGCTAAGCGATTAGATCTACCGAACGACTTACAGAACCAATCAAACCAATCAGACTATTAGCTAATAGATCTCAAGGGTTGGTTTCGTTAACACGTAAGTCTGCGTGGTGCCAGTTGGGTTCCACTCTTTTGTGACAGGACGTTGTTTTCGATTATTGAATTCTATGAACTTAATTAACTAGCTGCTTGGACATACGACTTTTTCGATGTGGTCGCGAATCGGGTTTGTGAAAACTTGAAAATGTGTTTTTCATGAACTGATAAGACATGTCTGACACAGGTTTTAACGTTAATAGGAAACACTCCAATCTGCATCATAGATTTACCGAGCACTGTTCATTGGTGGATATTTTTTACCAGTAGTAAGTCTTATGTTGATTTCATAGCAACGCGAGAAGCCCAATTTGTTGGTCTCTTCCTGTGTGGGTTCATTCTCATCTCTCTTCAAACACTACTTTGGGTTCCGTTCCGTCCAATGTTTTTCTCTATTAATGATTTAAATGCTTTGTAAAGGCACTAATGAAAAGTGTTTCTAAGATAGTAACACCTTTTTAGGCAATAGTTACGTATAGGGGAACCTTCCAATTGGGGTATGGTAGTCTTGTTTTTCTTAGGCTTAGGCTTAGGTTCACAGCGCATTCACGTTCATGGATAGATCTACCGTTTGTGCTGCTGAATCAGTCCAGTTCTATCTTAGGCTTAGGTTCACCACGCATCCACGTTCATGGACTGTTCTATCTTGTCTATAATCACAGCTTCTGCTTCTTCTTCCTTTCTAAATATTCGCGCGCATCTCGTTTATTTTATTCGTGCCCTACCGTAATTCCGTATGCAACGTGTACTAACAACACACGTGATATCGAATGATTCAGGTGCATTCATTTATTGTTCACACCATTGACTGATATTAGCTGTTTTCAGAGTGTTCCTCATTCCTCACGATGGGTGACGATCCTTGTGAATGTCTTTTCAATCACGAGGCCGCTATGAGAAGATTGTTATCACTGGTATGTGTGCTGATAGCATTGTTTTATAGTTATAAAAAGAGGCGACACCCTTGAGTTTTACCTTTGATTTTGCCTAGATCTGCTTCTATAACTTTTCACAGGACATATGATGAGTACAGAGAGTTTCTGTATACCCATAAACAGTATTGAAGTACGCTATTGTTGTTAGGAAGAAAGTAAAGTTGTCCTTACTTAAAATCAATATTTTAGGGAAACAAAGCTTTTTCAGCTACGTGATACTCAGGATTACTGTACAGATTCTGAATGTTTTACTGAAGGAGGACCGAGCGCGATCGCTAGCAACTCTCTGTTGCTCTGGACTATGCTCTGGGGTTTTCTAGCTCTAGTTCTATTCTTCTTGCGCCCGAACTCTATGCGATCAAATCCACAAGGACTCGGAAAACCGGGACCAAGCAATGATCGCGTAGGAATTTGCGTTATGAATGAAATGTATATGTGTTAATACTTCGTTGTAATCACAAGTATTTCAGAACAACCAGCAGCCACCGCCGCCAGGAGTTATGTAACTGGTAACTACACCCACATATGAGTACGTCTCCAATGCGCTCGATTTCCACGAACATTCACAAATGTACACATATTGTAAATATAGTAATATCGTCTTCCGAGATGCCTTTTAATTTCAGCTGTATCAATTGCGACAACACACTTGTTTCCGTAATGTGTACTGGTTTGATCCCCCCGGTATCGCGATCAAATGGATCGTAGTATATCGGATATGATTGGTTACATTTCTTTTCTCTTCTCCTTTTTGCTTCTCACACTTCTTCCTACTATTAAGTGTGCCGTAGAATGACTGTTTCTTTTTTCTGTACTTTGACAGATTTCTAATATACCAACCAGCTAGTCTAGCCCTGAATGTGATTCGCTAGATATAGTTCCATTTTCTGTAAACTTTTATCATTCATTGGTACAATAAATCTTTGAGGGTGACTAATTTACATATACATCAAATACATAGTTATTACATGATATAACAATAACACAAAGCGAAGAAGCACAACGACGACCCGATTTACGATACGAACCGAAGAAGGACGTCTCGTTTGAGATATACTTATGGATATTCCACGCATTTCACCAGAAACGAGAACAAGCAACGTCACATAAAGTATGGGGTTACGACTTTCTCTGGGATTTCTCGACGATCTTGTGGTACTGCGGTGAACTGTTTCACATCTCGTGTTCCGTCTTCAGATATTGACAGAACAGCAGCAGCATTACCGCACCGATAACAGTAGTTGGGCGCTAAAGATAAATACCATTGTCTTTAAGATCTGGTGAAATATAAATTGATCAGTTAGCATAAACAGAACCCAACCATTGTTCTGGGTTATTTTCACACCACCGAGTTATAATCGATCCAGTAGCAATCGACTGCCGTATAGAAGCCTGGGTTCGATCGCACTGATGAAAGTTGTTTGAAGTCTCCAAAAGGTTAATCAATTCGCTAACATATGGACGATGACGTGTATTGTATACAATCACACGTAGCCGGAAGAACTAGCGCGCTTCCGCTTTAAACAAACATAGCTCATAACGACCTTTATTAATTCAAATTAAACTCATTAGAAGCGTGACCTCGCCCACACGGGCTAATTTTCTTATTTTACCCAGGCACATTCTTTCCCCGTGTGTGATTTCTACGTCTGGTTCTCACTAGTAACTGGAAAATTTAAAAAGAACAAAGGACTGAGTGTTTAAAGAAAGATGTTTGCTATTTGAATGAGATCTGTGTACAGGGGTTTTTTCTGCTTGAGCTATGAGAGTGTTAAGTCGACTATATTGCGTGTCACTTTGACCTTCTAAGGCTCTGAAGAAGGCGAACAAAAGTTCGACTATTGTGAATAAATGTAGTGATAACAACCTAGTGTTTACTTAAACAGAAACATTAACTCATTGGTCGATGTCGAGGTAAAGATAAAGTCGGTTCTGGGAATTAAAACATTATGTACCAACAGTATAGTTCTGAGTAGTGAAAGATCCTGTCACTGAGACAAAAGATTGCCACGGGTAGACGAAAGATATTTTTTTCCGCCGCTGCCTAAAACACCGAGTCGTCTCGAACTCCATCAAATGAAGACATCTGCACGTGCTATGCAGTCTATCACAGTACAGAGACCAAGTACTAAACATCGAAATATGAGTACACCACGCTTCTCTACTACGTACCCTGAATGAGGTGTTCGGTCGAACGACAACTGTTGTGCTCAGTATGTCTCATTGTCCACACTTTTTTCATTGCAAGGGTGCTATGTGAAGTACAACCACTGAGATGCCGAGATATGAGCAAACTCGTAACCTCAGGTGGGCTTGGTGATTACTTTTATCAGGATTGAGGTGCAGAAGGCTGCTCGCTAGTGGAATAGGTGCAATTTTCTAACCAACCCCATTTATTTGTAAGGAAATCTTGCGTAGAAGCGCGCGCACTCCGCACGAGTTTCAGGATCGACGCCGTTACAAAGCTAGACTGGAGACGTTACATAAAGGATAAAAAGGATAAAGCTCTCGGCGTTGATCAATCCCAGAGTGATGCGCCATGCATTCGATTTCATGAAGGATCGTTCGAAGTGACTGAATGCACATCTGGACTTAACAATGATTCGCAGTGGCCTACCGATGTATCCAGCCAGTGCTGCTATCCTCGCAGACAAGCCTGGTACCAATTTGCTGACCCCGGAGAGATGGAAGGCTCGGTGGGCCTGCGACACGATGATCGACCCCGTGTGTATTGCAGGGCGCGTCCGATCACTGTGCTACGCGCCTCGAAACGTTACATAAAGACGAGAACCGAAAAGTATGGGTAACACTAGCACCACCTTTTCCAAGTGTTCCTTACAACAAAACATCTCAACGGCGACGTAGACATTACCTTTCGCATATCTTTGGAGCAAGCTCTCAAAATAGTTAACCACAATCGCGAAAAAGAGTTTACTTAAAACCACAGAACAGCGAAAGAGTGTAGAACGTGACAGGCTCGAGAACCAGTAAAACCAAGAACTACTAAGTATCAGCTAGTGAGAAGGCTGAAGAGTTTGTAGTGATCTCTCGTGAGTTAGATGTTGAAATAAAAGAGAAATTGATTATACTAGTCTTCATTCCTTATCATCTGAAAATGAATTCAAAAGTCAATACTGAAAACTTGACAGGGAATGAGTCAAAGTGGCGAGTGCGACGGGTTTGAATCCATCAGTTATTTCTCAACTTAAAATTGAATTAACAGAATATCTCATCATATAGCTCCTTATCAAAACTCATAAGTTGGAATTAACTCACGATCTTGCGTTTACCGATGCTTTAACGTTCAAGATTGCATCAATCAACACCTGTGCAGACAGGTCCACGGGTACGATAAGGTGGTTTACAAACATAATGCCCGTCTACTTGCTGAAGCACATCCCAGCGGTTTCCACAAACACTAAATGTTCCTGGATCACCGACATAACGCGCGTCCTAACAACGCGCAGGTAGTAGAGTCCTTCGACGTTACCGTCCTTTATACAAAAGTGTCAAATGAATCCGCTATGCAAACTATCCTCCAACTCTTTATACGACACGAAGGAGCAAGAGACATCTATGGCTTCTCGATCCAGCAGCTCATGGTCCTTTTAAAAGATGTGTCTAAACAGCTTGATCTTCAGATAGTCACGTAAATATTACGCACGAATTAGAGGGTTGACAGTGGGACAGCGACTGGCACCAAACCCTTCCACTGCGCTCATGGCCAAGCTGAAACCATTGTCTCCAGTCGGTGCTATATTGTAGCGATGACTGTTTGTCACTTTCTCAAAACAAAAGAAGGTGAACAAAGGTCTTGAGTTATTGAATAAAATGTATATCAAATTTACACGGAAACACTGAGGAATGACAGGATGCCGTTTTCGATGTTCACATGTCACTAAATAACACCGAAAGCCAACTAGAAAAAACGCTGGTTCAATACCTTTCCCCTACTCTTCACACACAAAAACAGGGCCTATGAGAAACATGTCTCAAACAGCTACCAATATGTGTACATGGTAAGAGAAGAAGGAAGAGTCGGTGAAACTAGCACGAGAAATAGTTACTTCCATTGAGTACGGAACTGTAGCTCCTCGGGATAGGTGTAGAAGAAATACGATGCCTCAAACAACAAGGCTAACGAAACCACAGCGCCGATTAACCTGCCCATATCTCAAATGAAGCAAGCAAAGCTATAAACCGATGTCTAAAAAGACCGGTCTGGATACCGATAGCATTGGTTGAAATACCACAGAACACCCCAAAACGTCGACTAGTTCCAAGCCACTTACATGACTGTTTTTGCATAACACAAAACTACATACTTTGTAACCCGAAAGACCGACTTTCTATGAACCTCGGCATAGATAGTTGATATATTTATTTATATGATCTTATAAACTGATCTTCTTAAGCTGACGCGAGGTTGGTACAGATCTTCGTTGTCGTTGTCGTTGTCGTTGTTTTTGATGTTATTGAACGATGGCTGACGTTTCCTCAGAGCCTTCCTCAGAGCCTGGACGTACTTTATGTTAGAATACTTTTTATTATTCGGTGGAAAAGAAGGTTAAAGTATTAATG